AGTAGAAGTATTCCAAACTTGTATCAACATCATTTATGTAACAGGTTTTATCACAAAAATGTAAGTTAGAATATGGTGCTGGAAATATCACGCTTTCTGTTTTATGGGTATAAACTCCATTTGAATATACAATCCATCAATCACGAGCCTCCAGAGAGAACAGATTTCCGCCTTCAGTTCTGATGTAGTCACAAATGTCCAGACAAAGGGTAGAAGATAAGATCTCAGCTGCACCTACCTGCTGCACTAAACCAGAACATGATACATTATATACACACGTAGCCCTATCGCTGCAATTGTGAAAAACTGACACAAATGGAATGTCTATTTTTTTTCCAGTTTTTATTGAGTGAAAATGTCAAACCTTGCATCAGTCATGCAAAAAAAAAAACAAAAAAAAAATCAAATAAATAAACACATATATTAAATTTCTAACAGCACTAAATTCAAGTGGAAAAATATTCAGTTCTTATTAATGTGGGAAAGTCCAATTCAAGTATTTAGAAGAACCCATTCTTACCTGGCTTTATAATAATAATGTTAAAAGTATATATATATATGTATGTAATACATATATACAATACTTATATATATAAAGATATATATATATCACATACTGCATTATATACAAATGTACACATGCTTATACCTATATCAATATACAGACGGTATTCAGATATAGATAGTAAACTGTAATTAGCCAGGATGACCTTAGATTTGTTTCCACAGAAATTTTTTTTAAAAAAAAAAAAAAAGACATTAAAAATATTGCAGATGAGTTGGAGATGGCTTATGTCCTACTGTGCAATATCAAGTTTAGAAAAAAAACTCCAACCTGATCTTTTCTTCATATTTTGTATTCTTTTATTAGATCATTCCATTTTTTGCTACATTTAATTATGGTTTTTTTTTTTTCTTCCTTGTTTTGTAAGGGTGCTATAAAGTGTGTATCAGAGATTGTAGTGTAGCTTCCGTTTCAGTAGAACCTCTCGTTACAACCATGGGGCCCCTTTCCTAATGCTTCTGTAGGACAAGCTCATACTTACCCACAAAAAGAAGAAAGTTTATTTTATTTTAAGCGACAAATAAAAGAGGACATCAGGAAAGGGAAGTTCATGGTGATCGCCGTGATGTTTTACAGCTTATAAAATAATTCCAAAACATCACTCCTATCTTCATATAGTTAACCTTTTGGCTTTTCAGACACCACACTGCATGTTTCACACGTTGATGGGTTTTCTAAGTTGCGAAAGGGATTGAGAGGCATTTATTCCCAGACTCATCTCACAAATAAAATATATTTATATGTAAAAAAACACAAAAAAAAACCTGCAAAAAAAGCACACGTAACTGATCGATGGGGGAAACCCACAAATTAAATATATAACTACAAACTTATATTAACAATCTGAAGATTACAATCCTCCATATTATCTGAACATTACGTTATTTTATTCTCTATAAAATTCAAGTTAAAAGTCGGAATCACGCATTTCAGTGCTAAAGTGAAGTCAGACATCAGGACTTCCAAAACAAATATCAGAAGCTAAAAACCAAAAAAAGGAGAAGAGGAGTTAGAGCAGGGACTGGGGGGGGGCTGACATTTGTCTGCTGATGCTCAGACATACAGCCACCTTTGCAAGCTTACTTTTTTTTTTCTTCTATTTTTTTTTTTTCACTTTTGCTTTTTTGTTCTATATATAACCTTTACAGAAAAAAATACTGTACAACTTTTTTCTTTAAATCAGAATTAATATGTCGCTCTGACACCATACATTGCAAACACTTGAGGCTTTCCCTCCTCATCTATTTGCTGTTTGCTTTTTTTTTTTGAAGGTTAATTAAATCGAACTCATCAAGGAATTGTCGAGGTGGGTGGGACCTGTTAAATTTGTGTCTGATAGCTAAAGAAGATGGAAGCCATTATGTAGTGCTTTTTGAATACTTGTAGTAGCGCTACCAACATCCACTTACTAAATATGAAAGAATTTGCACATTGATGTAACACTCAAATGCTGCTTTCCTTTGGCAGAAAACCTTGTTGGATTTGGGTATGATGGGCTACGAAAGCTCATCTAGTGACAGTTAAAAATAAGGGGAAGGGAAGCAGAATGCTCTGACTTACTTTTGGTAAGCCAAAAAGAGAAAATAAGAAGCCTCCGACCACACGGTTGTATAATATTTTTTTTTTTCACTGAATAGTTTTCTACCTGAGAAAGAGGGCATCCTGTGCTATAGTGATTGGTCTGCAGAACTGACTGCTAGCCCCATCTGTGTCCTCTAGAAATAACTGTTTTACAGCATGTAGTCATTTGATGTTCCACTCCAGGTCACTATACCCGGGCGACACAGAACGGTTCAAAGTGGAAGAGAAGTGCAGCTATACTGACTGCTGAGCAGCAATAGTTTCTTGCTTATGGAACTTTCTTCGGAAGGTGCTACAGGAATCCCACCCCTTATGACACTTATCTACCCCCCACTACAATTTCCAAAATTTAAATCAAGCAGTAACAGCATGTCACGGAGGGCAGGAGGGATCC